AAGGACAGGCATTATGCAATAGTGATGGGAGATTTTAATGCCACATTTAATTCTAAAATTGATAGGTTTAATATTAATATTAATGCAAGAAATAGATCAGATAAACCTGAAAGTCAAATATTGAGATTTTCAGATAATAACACGTTTAAAGATACTTTTAGAACATATAAAGATATCACAGAAAATGAAAATATGCAGAACAAAACAACACTAAATTTTTTTTGGAGAAACAGTACCCAAGAAGTTAAAAGCAGAATAGATCAAATATGAATATCAGATAACTTAGCAGATCAACTTTTTTGTGCAGATATTATATCCTCAGATTTGAAAGTCACAGTGACCATACATGTGCAATAGCAGAAATAGATGACAATATTCTAAAATATACTAAATCCATAACAGATTCAGATAAAATTCTAAATAAGATAGAATTTAACTTCAAGGGGACATCTGAAAAAAAATGGAAAAAATTCAAATTCCAGATTGAATTAACTGTAGCAGAAAATGTCACCTTTGGAATTGACAATATTGAAGAAAAATGGAATTTTTTCCAAAATGTCATAATTTGAAAAGCAAATGAAATAATTCCAAAAAAGAAAAAACTTATATCTGGAAAGTATGAAGAATCAAAAGCACTACATAATTACTTCATCACATATAGAAAACTGATATCTATAAGAAAGATTCATGATTAGGGAGACAGTAGTATACTAACAGAAAACAAAAGAGCATATTAGAAGAAAAAATAGTTAAAAAAATAAAAAACATATGGGAAGAATATAATATAGAAATTGAAGTCCCATCATGAACAGAAACAACAGAAGAGACTAAAAATTGGTTGAAAGGAGTTAAAAGAATCCACCATACTCTACACAAAGTATTTGATTCAGAAATAAAATATTCAAATTATAAAAAAATTAAAGAACAGATTATCAAAAGAAATAAAAACTCCAAGACAACAAAAAAATAGTCATTAAAAGTTTCCTAAATAAAGAAAGACCTAGAATATCAACAGACAGTGTTATCCATGTAAACCTTCTACAATTTACAAAGACAACAGGATAAAATAATACTAAAACTAATAAATAAAACTAAGTATAACTATAAGAATTACTAATCTCACGACAAAATTATCA